ATTGGCTTTGAAAATTATAAATTTATAAACTCAAGTTCCAGTTGCTTTTGGGATACTATCTTACAAGGACTCCAACGTACAGTATGGCTCATTAAGGAAGGGAATGGCTCAGTTTCCTTTAGCCTACTGGCTATAGGTGAGATAGGACCTCTGTTGGTCTTTTCTGTATCGAACACACAGATTGCAAGTGCAGTGCCACTTTGAGATTTTTGGCAGCAATTAACTATGCAGCTCACACACGATTGAGCTGGTATGATAATGAGTATTCAGAGACAGGTAATGCCTGGGGGTACTCACCAACCTAAGACAGAGCACCTGTGTGGCCTGGGCAGGCGTCTCCGTGACGGGTAAGGTGACCTGCTGACGTCCCACGCAATCCAAGTCAGAAGCTCATTTTTTAATAAAAGGGGGACCCTTTTGGGTAACTATTGCTTTGCTTGCTGACCTTGACCTTGATATCCCCCCTATGCTAATTCCCTGCCAGGTTCCACCCTCCTGAATGCTTAAGGGAAGTTCTTTGTCTGTGTATCCTGAATAATGGGCCTTAACAGCTTAGATGCAAGATTGTAAAACATCAGTAGTGAACTTCTGCCCTCTGGGGTCCTCCCATTGTGCTTTAAGCCTGTATTTAAGACCTCCTACTCCCTTTAAGAAATGACATTCAACATTTAAAATATATATATATATAAAATTGAATGAATACTGCGAATGTAATCTATGAATACCACAAATGTGATTAATATCATGAGTGTAATTAATGAATATCATGAGTGTAATTTAAAAAATAAAAAAAAAAAAGAGACACAGATCTGAAGTGAAGCTCATCATTAGCTGTATTTGTTACACGATGACACTTGTTTCTGAATTGTCTATGAATTATGCAGAGGTTCTTTACCATCTGCCACAGTGTCCATTAGCTGATCTTGCAAACAGTAGCCAGACAGAGTAGCATTTCTGTAGTTTCTGAAATCTCAGTTCACTGAATCATTTTTTAGTCATTAGATTTTATAACAGATTAGAAAATTACTTTCAGGCTGTTGTGTAAAGAAGTAATCCAGAGGGGTGTGGTGGCACACACCTGTAATCCCAGCCCTGGGGAAGCCCAGGCAGGAACATTATCATCATCAGTTCAAAGCCAACCTGTGCTACATAGTGGGTTCCAGGAAAGCCTGGGCTACACACACACACACACACACACACACACACACACACACACACACACACAGAGAGAGAGAGAGAGAGAGAGAGAGAGAGTGAGTTTTGCAGAGTTTTGTTTTTCCATGCTGGGAACGAAACTAGGACTTTGTATGTGCCAGGCCATGCTCTAACCACTGAGCTATACATCAAACTTTCACTTATATTCTGAAGGGCCAAATTAAGTATCCTTTTAAAAATGAGTTAATTAGCCAGGCGGTGGTGGCGCACGCCTTTAATCCCAGCACTCGGGAGGGAGGCAGAGTCAGGGGGTCTCTGTGGGTTCGAGGCCAGCCTGGGCTACCAAGTGAGTTCCAGGAAAGGCGCAAAGCTACACAGAGAAACCCTGTCTC